AAAAAAGAAAAAAGAATACTTGATCAGCAATCAAATAACTTGGTCAATTGAACCAGAAATCCCGTCTTATTGAATGGTATTGGATTTCCTGCCCACTACTCTACCCGCCTTGGATTTCAGTCATAAATCGTCATCTTGCCCACTACTCTACCCGCCTTGGATTTCAGTCATAAATCGTCATCTTGTATTGTGCATATGTAGTGAATTGTGGGTAGGGGTGTGGGTAAAGAAAGTAAACAGGAAATCTGAGTTGGTATTAAACAAGTTCTAATCTCCTWCCTACAAATTATTCCCACATCCATACCCACATGACACCACAAGTGCACATTGGGAATATCTTCTTTACCATTCACGGGACAACGTTCCTAATACACAGTGATAGTTTCTTTCCTCTATGGGTATTGATGTAGGAACAGTTTGTTTGTAGCTCTAGGCACTAAACAGCTTGGCCTAGTCAGTAGGTTGTAGGTTGACATTAATTATCTTTCTTTTTTTTTTAACAATTTTCAYCATTAATAACAATAAATCAATTTTTAAGGATTTTTTATATGATGAATATTGAATAAGTAATATTAGAGATATATGCATTTTTTTGTATATTTCTACAGTAATATCTTTTTTAATATTTTAATTGTTTAATTATGATGTCACAAATAGGGGTTCTACTATAATATGAACAAGATATGATATCTGAAATATTTTTGACTAATCAACTGGAATCATAAAGGTGGTAGCCAATTATGTGCTATTTATCAAAATTCATAGGTGGGTTTTGATTGGTCAAAACTCTTTCGATACCATATCTCTATCTTTTTCTCATCATACATTTTTCCATCTTTATCCAGATGGAAAAGCAATTCCATTTCCGGGTCAAAACATTGATTTTAAATTCAAAAAAATAAAATAAAATGGAAAGAGAGAATGCTTTTAGGATATGTGTAATTCTAGCACCATTGTCTAACGATGCCTTTTAGGATATGTGTAATTCTAGCACCAACCTGACTCAATGGTTGGGTTGGGTTAGGACCGAGGCATTATAAGATTGGCATGGGTTAGGGTTGATTGGTTAATGGTTATTGGATTGAGGTATGGTTTGTATTCGAGGATTACATCTCGGGTTGGGCTGAGGTTGATGTCAATTAAGGGCCTGTTTGGCCAACTAGATGGAATTACACTGATCAAACCCTATTACATATATAAGATCTGAATCTGCATTTTAAGTCACAATTATTACAGCCATGATTAGTTTTACCTGTTGCAATTAAGACTTGAACCAATTATGTGAATACATGTTTATAATTAACACATGACAAAGATATCCCCAACATTTTATATGTATTTCTCATGATTTACCTATAATAACTTCATATATATAAAATGTCTAAACTTGCCATTTTATAAGAAATATATGACATTTTGAAGAGTGRACAAGATAATTAGCAGGTGCTAAGAACCTATCARTTACTATAATCAGGTCAGATACAATAAGCATGATTAATAATAAYAGGGRYAGTTTTGTGTCTGYAGATTATATATCATGTATGATACGAATGTTAATGAATCATGTAAAATGCTAAACCTGCCTTACCCCAACCGTATCAGATTGGATTTGGTCAGCTGTAATCAGGTATTGGATTGAGTTTGGGTTAGGTGGGCATGACCCACAAAGGTTGAGTTGAGACAAGCCTACACCAAATTCAACCAGTTGGTATCATTAAGGTGGTGTTTGATAACACTTTTCAGATCTTTAAAGTCTGAAAATGTTGCTTTTCATACGTCAGAAGTGTTTGAAAGTGTATCTGAATTTGGGTCTAAAAATCATTTTCAAATCCAAAATAATAAGACATG